TTCAGTGGAATAGACATGAATGATCAATTCCCTCAGAGGCGTCCAAATATTGTAGGTCGTGCATCGAGTAACCGCCCGTCTGTTTCATCGTGTGCGGAGCAGAGGTGTTCGGCACTCGAAGATGCGCCCGATCCTACCTCTGGTCTTCCTGACTCCGTCTTCATACCGGGTCCAGATGTGTGAGAGGTTAGAGAGAGATAGAGAGAGAATGAGTGGTATCTTCATCAACAGTCGGTATCCTTTAGCCCCCTGCTGCCAGCACAAGGTGGACATCGTCGTTTGCGATTATCTAGGTGTAAAGGCACGCCCACAACCCAGCCTGACACTTTGAGCTCCAATTCGGTTTTATTACGATGCAGTACACGCAAATTTCTTCAATCTCAAATGGTCTTTGGAAAGTAAGCATGGCAATTCGTCGTCTGCTAAACAGCAATCCCCCACACGCGTACTGCACTCTTTCATCATATGATTAAACATCATGCGCTGGTTTGACATGGTGTCGTGAGTGTCTGATGACCCCTGTCTGACGGTCAGATTTCGTCATGTTGCGGGACGCACCTGAACTCTCCCTCCCTCCCCTCCCTCCTTTTCTCCAACCGACCTGAATTACAGGTGGCCTTTCCCGAAATTCTTGTGAGGATGTGGTAAGGACCACTGCTTGATTTAAATCCACTGGATTCAAAGTGATGATTCAGTTGGAGGCAAGGCCAGTTACTATCGCAGGTAGAGTTAGAGCCAAGACTAACACTTGTGTGTTATTGTTAAAGTCAGGATACAGGGACTGTTCCAGTGGTTTCTTTGATAAGTGCTCTCATTCGCATTCTCACTATTACTTACGATGTATGCAGCAGATTGGATGTGCGACAAAATCCTTTTAATATGATTGATGCGCATGCATTTCCTACTGCCATATCGAAACATGAATTAATGTCGCCCAGGTAAAGAAAGCATACTGCGAACACCACGACCCTACCTGCAGTAAAGTGAAAATTGCCGTCAAGTTAAAAAGAAATCGTCAGCAAAGATGCATACGATGAAATTGCAGATACCTGTGGCGCAAACGATGTGCCAGTCAGCATGTCTCATTCAAAGTAACATGGAAGCGATGAACTCAGTAGTCGCCTCAATGCGTTGACTAAAACATGTAATGAGGGAGGAAAAGACGTCTTGCGAGTGGCAAAATGATTTACGCAGAAATAATAACTTATTTTTTGCGAGGGCAGACAGTGTGGAAGAGGTGCTATTGAGGTGGACTGATTGAAAGATAGGTGCAGGAATACACACATGGTATGGCCATTGAAACTGAGAAAAATTAATGGAAATTAGGGAAGAGGTTTTTGTTTAACCTACGGTATTATTTTCCGTCCACGTATCTTACGGAATGTGGGAATACAGACGTGAACACTGCCGTCATCAGTACCATATCTTGCCTCCTAAATGCAGCGCCTTATACACTATTGCGGTGATAGTTAAATCCGGTTTCAGAGGTGGAGATACGGCCTGTCCTGTTTGGGAGCTCACTCGAAAAAAAGGCTACTTAGCTAGCGCGCAGATCCTCCACCAGTGTTCGATGACCGTGTGAATTAGGTCGTTTATTTAGGGAGAGCCTCCATACAAATACTATTTCTTGTACTCATTTGATAACAAATCATGCCTTCTTAAAATTGTCCACTTGAAGAAGGAGCACCGTTAGACCCAAAAATGATTCTCGTTATGAGATTTTTAGAACGATGTAATGTCCATTCGAATAACACCGTATCTGTGTGCTTGACGATGCCCTCATCAAGAATGGAAAATATTCGATGCTCCCTGCGACGACTTCTGAGCTGCTTATGGTGTTCTTCAACCAGCAAAATCTTGTTGATGGGCGAGAAGACGGTGAACTCGTTGGCTACTGCAATAATCTAATTTTGGAATAAGCTCTAAAATCATTGTATATCGAAATATTAGCATAAAACCAATTTTGGGCTCAAGTAGCAAAATCTACCTGTAAGCAGAGCCTAAATAAATTATCTATCTCGTCAGTTTTTGGGTTATTGCTGTGTTTGCACATCCAAACATGGTTTGATTTTCACGTTAACCGTTAGCGCACAATAATGAATATGCCTGAACTTGTCATGTGATTGGTTTGTGCGATAGTCTTACAGCCACAATTATGTTATCCCTCGTATTCGTGCGCGTATAAGCATCACATTTCACCGGCATTAATAATAAGTTTAAGGAATGCTTTACTTTGCTGGCATAAGAAATAGCGCTACGATGAGTTCAGCTTGAACTGCCCAAAACCCCATTTAGTATGTCCCCGCTCTAATTATCAAAAGGTTGCAGTCTTGGTTTCAACGACCCTTTTTGTTTAGATTAACTTTAACATTTTCGAACTTGTCGAGCGCATTTCCATAACCGTGGTCGGAAGATCAATATTCGATTATTAGCTAAGGAACCTGGAAATAAAAATGCAAACGCAAATGATGGTTTTGTTTCCTTTGGATCAGTTTAGATGTGTCTTCATGTCAACAGCTAGGCACAGCATCCTGTTTCGCGACCGGCTGCTCTCACCGTACCATACCACAGAGCAAGGCATATTGGCCATTCAGTACTTAGTTGGCAAAAAACAATAATGATACCTTCTCTACAGTCATTTGTTGCCCCAAACGCTAAGCAAGGCCTGACATTCTGCTCTGGAAAAAAGTATTTGAAGGGCAGACTTTGGTCAAAATCGTGCGATGGAATTACCCCATATACATCACTAACTTTATTCAAAATAATCTCTCGTTATTTCGATCCAAGACTCCTTTCTGGCGTATTTGATTTTGACAATATCTCCTACCAGTAGGAGGAAGACAGAAAAGCAAACAGTGCAGATGTGCTATGTAATGCAATTTTTACCGAATATTTTGGCTTTAATTTTGAACTCTACCCATCGTTACACGTGCATTCAAGGCAACATTTTGCAGTGCATTTGACGCATGTTCAATACGTTCCAGGCAGCATTGATAAATACACAAACATTATGCTTCATGCACGGCAATTGTAATCTTAAGAAAATCTATGACTAGAGAATTTTAAAAGGGCTAGCTACTCCTTCATCGCATGTACACATTGAAGGACATTGAAAAGCGGCCGTAAATGTTCAAACTATCTACAGAGATATTTTTTATGGATTGTAGGTCTTGCAGGCGTGCAAAAAGCAGTCTGTTCAAAAGCCGGCACCCAGGCGTGCCTGGGAACTCCTAGAACTATGTGGCAGGATGAGTAATGTAGCAATCCCTCTTAAGCAGTCTTTCCCAATCCAAAACAAATTTTTAGAATTGTGACTAACATTTTATGAAATAATACCAAAGCCTCGCAAGAACATGATACCTCGCATGGCACAACTCCAACCTTCAACCTGCAAACCAAAATCCCCTCTTCCAGTCGAAGCACTATGTTGCGAATTGTGGACTCCCTGATCAACCCACATTCGACCCACAATGACTCGTTGTTTTTCACTTACCAAGCATCATCACTCAAAGCCAATTGTACATTCTCTCATCATGTTTTTAGACTTTTGACAGAAAATTCGCCTTCGTTTACAGTTGTGAGCAGAGCTTTACCCTTGACTGTCCAATTTTATGGGTGTGGAGTCATGGGCCGCTGACAAAGCTGTTTGCAGGGGTGTTCGAATGATCTTAGGGTAGCGGTGGTCGGGACATTGTAACTGTTTCGAGATTACATCCGTGTGTTCCTTCTGCTCTCCAACGTGAAGGGGTTATGCGCCTTGGCCGTACCTGCTTGCTTCACAATCTTTGATGAGGTGGAGAACAGGAGGCACGAGCATGGCAAGCGAGAGAGAGAGAGGTCGCCTAATCCGAATACAAATGCCGACTCTGTCTGCTAGCCTGCCGACACGAAGTCCACAACGGCGACTTAAAGCCCACCAATCTGCGGTGATTACGACAGTTCGACCGTCGATTTCGACGATGTCCACCGTGTGCCCCACACCAGGTGGGAGCAGGGACGGTGACTTGCGCAGGGGTTTATAGTGCGGGTAGACTTGCGCTGCATCTACCTACACTCTCTCCTCCTCCCCCGCCTGGACCCGGTGTCAAGACAGAGTCAAGAAGACCGGAGACGAGGGAGGCCGCAGGTGGATGGCTCGGACGGATCCTTACCTTGGCGTTCCACCACACCCCGTGGTCCACACAACAATAACCAGGATTTCAACCAACACAACAGAGATTTGGAGGCTGGCACGGCCGAAGCCGCACCTGGGCGTGCCGCCAACGCCTGGCTCGGATCCCACACTGTGGTGAGAGTGCCATAAAGGCCACATTAAAAAGGAGCCATTGCAGCCTGACTCTCAGACCGCCTCCCGTTAAGGAGGAGGTCCAAGGTACCCCGTCAGTTGGCAACCTTCCAAGCCACGGCTTTTAGCGCACCGTGATAGCTTCAAGCGCGTCAGATTGATTATAGTGAGGAAGATGCGCTGAGTCGTCGACCTCACTCTCCCTTCCCATTCCCACACCCTAGCCACTGTCCGAGCCGGTCAGCAGACTGGAGTGGGGAATGGGCGCGGTGGCTGTCATGGTCGACTGACCATGCCTGCGCGCGCCACAGCACGACCTGGCCCCCCATACACACAAACACCAGGATTTCACACAACGGGGGTAGAACGGCGTGTCTCCCACTTGCGTGAGAGGGCCGTGGCAGGTGCTGCTTCAGCCCATCCCCAGCCCACCAGTCCGCCACTACACACAACACACACAACGTGACGAACTGCGCGAACCGAGAGCGGGCCTCAATCAGCAACCTTCCTATCCACGACACTTGACGTGTCGGGATAGTCTCGGACTCAAGTCACCCGTGCAGCCGAAGCCGCATGGGGACCGAGTCGAGATGCACACTTCCCACTTGCGTGGGAGGCGGCAGTTGAGTGCATGAGGTGTGTGGGGTTGATGTCTGGTGGGGTGATGGTGTTAGGAGGTAGGGAGTGAGGAATGTGTGGTGTGACCGGCGGTTGTCTACCGCAGGTCGTCGTGGATGCGCATGTGGCCGAATAAACCCATGCGATGCGTGAAGGTGCGAGGGCAGTGTCGGCAGAGGAGGCGAGTGCGGTGGGTGTAGGTTGGTGCTCCAGGCACTGGTTCGCCAGTCTCTGTGCGATGGATTCGCAAGTGACCGACCAGGCCGATGCGTGAAGTGAAGGTGCGATCGCAGTGAGGGCAGATGTAGTCCTGGCCCTCACGTCTGATGATGGAGGTTGCAGGGGTTGTGCCGGTTGTTGTGTGAGGTTCGGCTGTGGTGAAGTCGTGGGCGACAGACGCCGAAGCGGCCGTCGTTGTGGCAGTGAAGGAGGAAGATGAGGAGGAAGGGGAGGAGTTAGGGGTGGTAAGGACGGTGGCGTCAATGTCGGCTGGGGAGTGGTTAGTGCACAAGGTGGTGGATTTGGAGTGGGGCTCGGCGGGGTGGATGTGTCAAGGCTGCGGTCAATTCCGCTCTCGTGGATGCGCATGTGATTACAACAAAACACACACACACGTGCAGTTTTGGTGGACTCCTTTTTAAAACACGACACTTGCAATTTAGACGACGCAGTATATCAAAAAGAAGGTTGAATCATCCATCGTACATTTTATTATGCATCGTATATACACAAACGTCTTCCGATGCCGGATGTCCTCGTGCGAAGGTCATTCACATTCCTAGAAAAATGTGGAATTAATGGACGTCTGCTTTATCAAATATCATCTATCATGAAATGGCACTGCTATGTGCTTAACAGTAGAACTTACGCAGCGTCCTCAGCATTTACCACATATTAATCTTCCCCACAGGAATTGCATTTTGTTTATCTTGAAGGAGAAAAATGTAAAGACATTTTGGTTATCATGGAAGGACATTTTATTATCCTCAGACTGCATTTTGCTTAAAAAGGCAATGATTCAAACGTATCTTGAGAGTAATTAGCACAAGTGATCTAAGCAATGCCTTGTTTACGCTGAAAGTGTCTTCCTCGACACACTGATGCAGATGGTTGCCCAACCATGGAAGCATTGCAGACCGGTCACTATAGGCTGTGCGTCTGGCCTACGACAGTATTTAATATGCCTAGTCATTGTGGGATGGATTTCCTTTGCGTGCAGATGTGCAAGTAGGAGGAACATGCACACACACCCCTTCTTGCCAACTGGCGTCGGAACGTGGTAGATAGAGCATTGGATGAATACTCGTCTACATTGCCGGAATATTAGAATTTAAAGGTGTGAATTGCCTTGCGTTTAAAATATACTGATGCCGACAAAAAGACTTACCTGCTGGCTCGATGGGCTTTGGGTTTTGGAAGGCGGCGCTGCTTCTGATTGATGAATAACCAGTCTTGCCTGTATTACATGCCTCTGTGACTGAGACGGCAACAAGCAAAAACACTAGGAATGCGAAAAAGCGCATGTTCTTGGATGTGGTCTGGGAGACAGCGAGCATATCCCTAGCTCGATATCAGGTCCTTTTATAAGTTCAAATATTCCGTCACGCCCTACGATTCGTCATTTAACCTACCAATATGATGCAATGCGTAATGCTGCCTGTTCGCCTTGAGGCCAGTCATCTGTCAGCATTTTGATTACTCACTGCTGGAAGATGGAATTTCGATATTTCAACGTCGACTGCCGTGTCGAAGTTGAGGTTCGATGAGCGTGCTGGGAATTGTCTGAGTCGCTCTTTGGAGGACAGTTCGTACGGTTGATGGTGCGATTTCGGAATGCAGAAGAAATGGATTCATTTGACAGGTGGAAACGCAGGCTCGACTAATATCGTCAAAATAAGCTGTTGAAGATTCCGTTCTGCATTTCGTCCTGTGTAACCATGCCGTGAATACTCTGTCCGAAATCATAGTATAGACATGGAATGCCTGCCCCATATTTTAAGAGGATCCCGCTAAATTCAGAGCCTCAAAGACTAAGTGGTTGGCCTTCAAATGCGTGTTGGAGGACCTGTGGTGAGGAACCGGACTAATTTACCCTTGACAATTTAGTCCCGTTTTCTTTGCCCGGTTTGCTTGTTTGAATGTGACGAAAAACAACTCACCTCTACAACCCGCCTTGCTGGCCGGATTTGATGTCGCGCTCTGTTCACAAGTTACTTAACGTTCAAAATATCCATATTATTCACTGCTTAGTTTTACTTGCTGCCGTTAAGGCTAGGGGCTCGTGAGATATAACTCGTTAGTTCCTGGGAACATTAACCTTTACGTCAGACCAAAATACGTCGTCTAATAGACTACTGAAATACAGTAGGTGACATACGACATGAGACTATATGACAGAAACCAATATGAGAATATTGATGTTTCAGGAGATCATACTAGTAGCACGGGTATTAGCAAAATAGTGCAGACATGCAGGTTTCGCGGATATTGTGCCACAAGTGTTTGGGCAAATCAGTGCGCCACTAGGCATTCCCCGTGTGCTTTCAATGGGCCGAAATTGTTTCACTATTTTCAAAATATTATATGTTTGCATTAGAATGACTTTTGTTAAGTGGATATTTTCGATCTCGATTATATGAAACGTTACATTTCGTGCGGCCAATTTTCTGCATATATCCTATTTAGGAATAAAGAGTGCGGAACACTAGCAATGCAGGCAAAATATCTGGGCTAATGTGGTCACTCTGCTAAGCATGTGAAACTGTAGAACGGAGAGTACTAGTGAGGAAACACTGTGAATATGGCCACAATATAGATGGAATGGCACGTTCTCCTGCTGGTGACAGAAAATTAATAGTTAATTTTAGCGATGTAGAAGAAAGGGTTGAGATTGTCAGATAATTCCTCGACATAGCCGAGGGAAACGCGTAACGTACACGGACATCCGTCAAACATACGTCAGTCTGCACACTGCGCGTACTCCTTGAAAGGGAAATCCCAAATTCCTCCATGTTATGAAGAAGAAACTGCAGACATCTCCTATAATCGTGTGCTAAATACGAACTATGTTGTTTACCTCACAAGAGCATAAGTAAACGCACCTATTCGATGCTATTTGAACAGACCCTGTACGGTCTTGTAAGAGCTCATCAACACAGGCAGTTATAAAATCAATATGTATCCTGTCTTTGAGAATCCAATTGGAATGCGATATAAATGAAATATGAAATGAAATAAATGAAATGAAATATGTTTATGTAGACATTCTGTGGAATTCTTTTGCATATGAAGATGCATTGGAGAGCAGGGAAAAATATTCAAGCTACTAGAGTGGTTATTGTTTGATGAGGGCAATATTTTGTGGTCAGTTGAAAATAAATTCATTTAAAAGTCAGCATCCTGGCGTGTTCAAAACACCATAAGATTATGCCGCACCATAATCAGCATTAAAACCACACCAAAGTAATCTCTACAAACTGCAAACTCATTTCAGATTTTAAGTTGGCAATTCAGACGAACGGCCCGTGAATGTTCTATTGAAGCATAACGGACACTTCAGATTCATGCCTTTCAGCCGCTTCTCTAACAGCACCCCATCACCACAATCACAGTGATCATGCCTTCTCAATAAACTTCATAGGCTTCCTTCTACTCACATGAGACATTAAGCGGATTCTCAAAGACAATCTTGGGTGCACACAGTAGTGTGCACATGTCGAAAAACGCAAAAACCTCACCCTATTCCAGAAACCCTCTCACAGTCCAGCGTCACTCCCATTCACCTATTTGTCGGCGTTCAGTCATCTGCAATGAGGACGTTACCTCTGAATCGCCAGGATAGCCTTAATGCTTAGTCTCACTATTTGAGGATACTTGTCGTTTTAAAGACAGGGAATTTTTGTCGACTGAAATCAGATAAATTGCGACAACGAAGGCAAAAGTGGTTTTACATCAATAGAAGAACGTGTTTCGATTTGCCGAGATCAGGGAAGGGTCGACTTATTTCAAAAAAACCGGTGCAGGTTTCTTTCGAATATCCAGCTATGCATTTTTGCGCCCAACCGACTCTGACAACTGGACAGTGGAACATGGCCATGACCAAGAGTTTTCTGCATTAATATCCTTTACGCGTGACGTGCGTCTGAAGTAGTCAGATTTGAAGTGTGTCCTTCCTGTGGTTTGGGAATGCTTTATTTGTCTAGCGACCATCCCCACTAGGAGACAGTCTGCCGTTTAAATCGTCCTCCTTCCTATCTGAAAACATATAGACCTGGGAGATTGGCCAGTAAAATCGTCCACAATGCTTTATGGAATTTCGGCAGCATCATCTTCTTTAGAATGTGCGCGTTAGATTGTTAGAGAGCGAGGGTAGAAAGTTATTTCTAAATTTTCCGAAAGTGGGCCATCACTATCCAAATAGTAGTCCTCGGATTTGCGCCTCATGGGTGTCTTTCCTAAACATGAATCCTACAGGACCTCGGCAGATTGTTGCTGCTGTTGCACGCAGAATGGTTCTACAGCAAAGCATGCTGATGCCACCGATAGGTTGTCTTAGGCTACAAGTTTCCTGCCTGCATACATGGGTCTTTTCAGTGGAATAGACATGAATGATCAATTCCCTCAGAGGCGTCCAAATATTGTAGGTCGTGCATCGAGTAACCGCCCGTCTGTTTCATCGCGTGCGGAGCAGAGGTGTTCGGCACTCGAAGATGCGCCCGATCCTACCTCTGGTCTTCCTGACTCCGTCTTGATACCGGGTCCAGATGTGTGAGAGGTTAGAGAGGGATAGAGAGAGAATGAGTGGTATCTTCATCAACAGTCGGTATCCTTTAGCCCCCTGCTGCCAGCACAAGGTGGACATCGTCGTTTGCGATTATCTAGGTGTCAAGGCACGCCCACTACCCAGACTGACACTTTGAGCTCCAATTCGGTTTTATTACGATGCATTACACGCAAATTTCTTCAATCTCAAATGGTCTTCTGGAACGTAAGCATGGCAATTCGTCGTCTGCTAAACAGCAATCCCCCACACGCGTACTGCTCTCTTTCATCATATGATTAAACATCATGCGCTGGTTTGACATGGTGTTGTGTGTGTCTGATGACCCCTGTCTGACGGTCAGATTTCGTCATGTTGCGGGACGCACCTGAACTCTCCCTCTCTCCCCTCCCTCCTTTCCTCCAACCGAACTGAAATACAGGTGGCCTTTCCCGAAATTCTTGTGAGGATGTGGTTAGGACCACTGCTTGATTTAACTCCACTGGATTTAAAGTGATGATTCAGTTGGAGGCAAGGCCAGTTACTATCGCAGTTAGAGTTAGAGCCAAGACTAACACTTGTGTGTTATTGTTAAAGTCAGGATACAGGGACTGTTCCAGTGGTTTCTTTGATAAGTGCTCTCATTCGCACTCTCACTATTACTTACAATGTATGCAGCAGATTGGATGTGCGACAAAATCCTTTTAATATGATTGATGCGCATGCATTTCCTACTGCCATATCGAAACATGAATTAATGTCGCCCAGGTAAAGAAAGCATACTGCGAACACCACGACCCTACCTGCAGTAATGTGAAAATTGCCGTCAAGTTAAAAAGAAATCGTCAGCAAAGATGCATACGATGAAATTGCAGATACCTATGGCGCAAACGATGTTCCAGTGAGCATGTCTCATTCAAAGTAACATGGAAGCGATGAACTCAGTAGTCGCCTCAATGCGCTGACGAATACAAATATTGAGGAAGGAAAAGTTGTCTCGCGAGTGGCAAAATGATTTACGCAGAAATAATAACTTATTTTTTGCGAGGGCAGACAGTGTGGAAGAGGTGCTATTGAGGTGGACTGATTGAAAGGTAGGTGCAGGAATACACACATGGCATGGCCATTGAAACTGAGAAAAATTAATGGAAATTAGAGAAGAGGTTTTTGTTTAACCTACGGTATTATTTTCCGTCCACGTATCTTACAGAATGTGGGAATACAGACGTTAACACTGCCGTCATCAGTACCATATCTTGCCTCCTAAATGCAGCGCCTTATACACTATTGCGGTGATAGTTCGATCCGGTTTCAGAGGTGGAGATATGGCCTGTCCTGTTTGGGAGCTCACTCGAAAAAAAGGCAACTTAGCTAGCGCGCAGATCCTCCACCAGTGTTCGATGACCGTGTGAATTAGGTCGTTTATTTAGGGAGAGCCTCCATACAAATACTATTTCTTGTACTCATTTGATAACAAATCATGCCTTCTTAAAATTGTCCACTTGAAGAAGGAGCACCGTTAGACCCAAAAATGATTCTCGTTATGAGATTTTTAGAACGATGTAATGTCCATTCGAATAACACCGTATCTGTGTGCTTGACGATGCCCTCATCAAGAATGGAAAATATTCGATGCTCCCTGCGACGACTTCTGAGCTGCTTATGGTGTTCTTCAACCAGCAAAATCTTGTTGATGGGCGAGAAGACGGTGAACTCGTTGGCTACTGCAATAATCTAATTTTGGAATAAGCTCTAAAATCATTGTATATCGAACTATTAGCATAAAACCAATTTTAGGCTCAGGTAGCAAAATCTATCTGTAAGCAGATCCTAAATAAATTATCTATCTCGTCTGTTTTTGGGTTATTGCTGTGTTTGCACATCCAAACATGGTTTGATTTTCACGTTAACCGTTAGCGCACAATAATGAATATGCCTGAACTTGTCATGTGATTGATTTGTGCGATAGTCTTACAGCCACAATTATGTTATCCCTCGTATTCGTGCGCGTATAAGCATCACATTTCACCGGCATTAATAATAAGTTTAAGAAATGCTTCACTTTGCTGGCATAAGAAATAGCGCTACGATGAGTTCAGCTTGAACTGCCCAAAACCCCATTTAGTATGTCCCCGCTCTAATTATCAAAAGGTTGCAGTCTTGGTTTCAACGACCCTTTTTGTTTAGATTAACTTTAACATTTTCGAAATTATTGAGCGTTAATGCTGTCAGCATGTTGTTCACTGGTATTTAACGAATTCATCAGTTTTTTTAAAACAAAGTTCACTTTCTGTCTTCTGCATTTTGAATGCTGAAATTACCTGCAAATCTTTGCAACTTAACTGATCTTCTTGTGGAGTTGTACATTTGAATGGACATTTAATTGCCTCTGTCCTGTTACGATTTGAATTCATTCATCGTGCGACACGTTTAGCCCGCACACTCACTGCTGCAGTTGGAACATCGCGTGTCTGAAGTGGTTAGACCAACCGAGAAATTCTAAGAATTACGGCACATCCTTTGAAGGCTATGAGCCCTAAAATACTTCGAATGATATTCTGTAACGAATGGTGAGACATACTGACGCATTTCCATAACCGTGGTCGGAAGATCAATATTCGATTATTAGCTAAGGAAGCTGGAAATAAAAATGTTAACGCAAATGATGGTTTTGTTTCGTGTGGATCAATTTAGATGTGTCTTCATGTCAACACCTAGGCACAGCATCCTGTTTCGCGACCGGCTGCTCTCACCGTACCATACCACAGAGCAATGCATATTGGCCATTCAGTACTTAGTTGGCAAAAAACCATAATGATACTTCCTCTACAGTAATTTGTTGCCCCAAACGCTAAGCAAGGCCTGACATTCTGCTCTGGAAAAAAGTATTTGAAGGGCAGCCTTTGGTCAAAATCGTGCGATGGAATTACCCCATATACATCACTAACTTTATTCAAAATAATCTCTCGTTATTTGGATCCAAGACTCCTCTCTGGCGTATTTGATTTTGACAATATCTCCTACCAGTAGGAGGAAGACAGAAAAGCAAACAGTGTAGATGTGCTATGTAATGCAATTTTTACCGAATATTTTGGCTTTAATTTTGAACTCTACCCATCGTTACACGTGCATTCAAGGCAACATTTTGCAGTGCATTTGAAGCATGTTCAATACGTTCCAGGCAGCAGTGATAAATACACAAACATTATGCCTCTTGCACGGCAATTGTAATCTTAAGAAAATCTATGACTAGAGAATTTTAAAAGGGCTAGGTACTCCTTCATCGCATGTACACATTGAAGGACATTGAAAAGCGGTCGTAAATGTTCAAACTATCTACGGAGATATTTTTATGTATTGTAGGTCTTGCAGGCGAGCAAAAAGCAGTTTGTTTAAGAGCCGGCACCCAGGCGTGACTGGGAACTCCTAGGATTATGTGGCGGGATGAGTAATGTGGCAATCCCTCTTAAGCAGTCTTTCCCAATCCAAAACAAATTTTTAGAATTGTGACTAATATTTTATGAAATAATACCAAAGCCTCGCAAGAACATGATACCTCGCATGGCATAACTTCAACCTTCAACCTGCAAACCAAAATCCCCACTTCCAGTCGGAGCACTATGTTGCGAATTGTGGACTCCCTGATCAACCCATATTCGACCCAAAATGCTTCGTTGTTTTTCACTTACCAAGCATAATCACTCTAAGTCAATTGTAAATTATCTCATCATGTTTTTAGACTTTTGACAGAAAATTCGCCTACGTTTAGAGTTGTGAGCAGAGCTTTACCCTTGACTGTCCAATTTTATGGGTGTGGAGTCATGAGCCGCTGACAACGCTGTTTGCAGGGGTGTTCGAATCCTCTTAGGGTAGCGGTGGTCGGGACATTGTAACTGTTTCGAGATTACATCCGTGTGTTCCTTCTGCACGCCAACGTGAAGAGGTTATGCGCCTTGGCCGTACCTGCTTGTTTCACAATCTTTGATGAGGTGGAGAACAGGAGGCACGAGCATGGCAAGCGAGAGAGAGAGAGGTCGCCTAATCCGAATCCAAATGCCGACTCTGTCTGTTAGCCTGCCGACACGAAGTCCACAACGGCGACTTAAAGCCCACCAATCTGCGGTGATTACAACCAAACACACACACACGTGCAGTTTTGGTGGACTCCTTTTTAAAACACAACACTTGCAATCTGGACGACGCAGTATATCAAAAAGAAGGTTGAATCATCCATCCTACATTTTATTATGCATCGTATATACACAAACGTCTTCCGATGCCGGATGTCTTCGTGCGAAGGTCATTCACATTCCTAGAAAAATGTAGCGTTAATGGACGTCTGATTTTTCAAATATTAGCTATCATGAAATGGCACAGCTATGTGCTAAACAGTAGAACTTACGCAGCGTCCTCAGCATTTACCACATATTAATCTTCCCCACAGGAATTGCATTTTGATTATCTTGAAGGAGAAAAATGTAAAGACAGTTTGGTTATCATGGAAGGACATTTTATTATCCTCAGTTTGCATTTTGCTTAAAAAGGCAATGATTCAAACGTATCTTGGGAGTAATTAGCACAAGTGATCTAAGCAATGCCTTGTTTACGCTGGAAGTGTCTTCCTCGACACACTGATGCAGATGGTTGCCCAACCATGGAAGCATTGCAGACCGGTCACTATAGGCTGTGCGTCTGGCCTACGACAGTATTTAATATGCCTAGTCCTTGTGGGGTGAAGTTCCTTTGCGTGAAGATGTGCAAGTAGGAGGAACATGCACACACACCACTTCTTGCCAACTGGCGTCGGAACGTGGTAGATAGAGCATTGGATGAATACTCGTCTACATTGCCGGAATATTAGAATTTAAAGGTGTGAATTGCCTTGCGTGTAAAATATACTGATGCCGACAAAAAGCCTTACCTGCTGGCTCGATGGGCTTTGGGTTTTGGAAGGCGGCGCTGCTTCTGATTGATGAATAACCAGTCTTGCCTGTATTACATGCCTCTGTGACTGAGAAGGCAACAAGCAGAAACGATAGGAATGCGAAAAGATGCATGATCTTGGATGTTGTCTGGAGGACAGCGAGCATGCCCTGAGCCCGACATCAGGTCATTTTATAAGCTCATTTATTCCATCAGGCCTTACGATTCGTCATTTAACCAACCAATATGAGACAATGCGTAATGCTGCCTGTTCGCCTTGAGGCCAGTCATCTGTCAGCATTTTAATTACTCACTGCCAAAGAAGGCGAATTATCTTCCCTCAGATTACGGCATTAAGAATATGGACTCTGGATACTTCAACATCGACTAGCGTGTGGAATTTGATGTCCGATGAAGGCACTGATCGATATATGACAGATCGTACGGTCGATGGTGCAATATTGAATTCAGAAGAAGTGGATTCATTTGGCAGGTTGAAATGCTGTCTCGACTGATATCTACCAAAGTAGCTGTAGAAAACCATGTTTCGCATTCCATCCGATGTAACCATGCCGTGAATTCCTAGCCTGAAATCAGAGTATGGACATAGAATGCCTGCCCACTAATTTGAGTGAATCCCGCATTAAGCTGCAATCTGTGCCTCAACGGCCGAGTACTTGCATCTCATATGCGTGTTGTATGACTAGAATATGTACGTGGTGCAATGGACTATGAAAAATACAGTACGTGACTTAAGACAAGAAACCTGATGACGGAAACAAATATGAGGATAATGGTGTATCAGGAAAGCATACTGACAGCACAAGTATTAGTAAAATGTCCAGATATGCGTTTATCGCGGATATTGTGCCGCTGCATGCCATGTGGTTGTTTACTTATTTAAGTCATGATATTTATTTTCGTGCGGACAAATTCTAAGATATTTCAGTTACGCCTGAATGCTTTATTTTCAATGCAACGATTTTCGGCGCCTGTAGGAACCGCCTCAGTAAAACACGATTAATTTAGTAGTGTGAATACCATATTGATTTTCTATGTCATTATAAATTCAACCACATTTTGCACAGGTCATGCACAAAAGCACCCTATCATGTATTCGTTTGATATCAAATTCCTCCTTCTTCTTCTTCTTCTTCTTCTTCCTCTTCTTCTTCTTCTTCTTCTTCTACTTATTCAGATGTAATACCCGAGGAAATGGTAACTTTCGTTTTCGAAGGAATTCCACAATTCACGAATACGTTTGAGCCCGATTCGACACTGCATTTACGTGAAGAGATTTCAGCCTGCATACTGCACGCTCTCCGTGAGAGGGAAATCACAAATTCTTCCATGTCATGAAGAAGACACTGCAGACGCCTCGTATAGTCGTGTGCCAAATATGAACTATGTCGTTTACTTCACAAGGAGCAGTAGTAAACCCACATATGCGATGCTATTTGAACAGACGCTGCACGCTCTTTGAAAAGCTTATCAACACCGACATTTATGTCATCGATGTGTATCCTGTCTTTGAGAATCCAATTGGAGCACGATATAGTTTGCCGCCCCATGCGTAAAAAATTGATATGTTTACGTATGCTTACTGTATAATGCATCTGCAAGGGAAGGGCCATTGAATAACAGTCAGAATAATTGGGAAAATCGAATAAATGAAATAATCGGAATAATATGGTAATTGTTTGCCGAGGGCGATATTCTCCAGGCAGCCGAAAAGAAGTTCATTTAAAAGTCAGCATCCTGGTTTGTTCGAAATGCCATACGATCATGCCGCACCATAATCAGCGTAAGAACCACAACAAAGTAATCCATTCTATCTGAACACGCGTTTCGGCCATTAGGTTAGCAAGTGAGACGATCGGCCAGTGAATGCATAATTGAAACTTCTGCATAACGGACACCTCAGCTTCAAGCCCCCATGCTTTTTCGGTCCATTCACAGCAACCACAATGCTCATGCCTTCTCAATAACCTACATAGGCTTCCCTCCACTCATATGATTCACTGAGTGGACTGGAAAGAACAATCTTGGGCACACACGGTACTGCGTACTTAACATGTGCGGTTGCTTACTGTTTTAAAGACATGGATTTTTTAATGACCGAAATCATACCCATTGTAGAAACAAAGGCCGCATTGATTTAACATTAATATTACAACGTCTTTAAATTTGCCGAGCTCAGGTCAGTGTCTACTTATTTCAATATGTCCGTCGCAAGTTTCTTCCGAATATCCTGCTATGCATTTTTGTGCTGGAACTACTCTCAAAACTGGGCAGTGGAACGTGGCCGCAACCATGCGCTTTCTGCATAAATATCCTCTACGCCTGATGAGTACCCAAAGTAGTCACATTTGGACTGCGTCCCTTCGGTGGTCTGAGAGTGTTTCATTTGTCTAGCGACCATCTCCATTAGGAGATTGTCTGCCGTTTCAATCGTCCTCCATTCTGTCTGAAAACATGTAGATTTACAGATTGGATAGTAAAATTGTCTACCATGTAATAACGAATTTCGACAGCATAATGTTCATTGGAATCTGCGCTTGTGAGAGGGACAAAGGGCAATTAGTTAGATCTGCAAATACGAGCAGCTGGCGAGCATCCTCCTCGCGCATGAAAGGCATCTTCCAATTGTGGGACCATCACTATTTGATTAGAAGTCATCGTATCTGCGTCTCAAGGTTGTCTTTTCTAAACGTGTTTCTACAGGATTTGGGCAGACTGTTGCTGCTGTTGTACGCAGAATGCCACAAGTATGATGTCTGCATGCACGCGTCTGTTCAGCGGAATAGACATGAAGGCTCATTTCCTGCAGAGGCGTCGAAATATTGTAGGTCGTGCATCGAATAACCGCCCTTCTGTTTCATCGTGTGCGGAGCAGAGCTGGTCGTCACTCGAAGATGCGCCCGATCTCACATCTGTTCTTCCTGACTCTGCCTTGACACCGGGCTAAGATGAGTGTGAGATTAGAGAGGGAGAGAGAGAGAGAATGAGTGGTAGCTTCATCGAAAGTCGGTATTTCCGAGCCCCCATGCTGCGGGCACAATGTGGACATCGTCGTTCGCGGTTATCGAGGCACGCCCACCACCCAGACTGCCACTTTATGCTCCAATTCGGTTTTATTACGATGCAGTACACGCAAATTGCTTCAGTCTCAAATGGCCTTCTGGACAAGTGAGCATGGCAGTTCGTCGTCTGCTGAGAAGCAATCGCCTACAAGCCTACTGCACTCTTTCATCATATGATTAAACGTCATGCGCTGGTTTGACATGGTGTCGTGAGTGTCTGATGACCCCTGTCTGACGGTCAGATTTCGTCATGTCGCGGGACGCACTTGAGTTCTCTCTTTCCCCTCCCTCCTCCCGCCACCCCATTATCTAAACGTGGCAAAATGGACTTACTGCGATCCGCGTGGGTTATGTCGTCGAACACTTGCTTTTTATGTATTAAGCACTACTTTCCTTAATGCAGGTTTGTCTCCTATAAACAACAACCAGACTCAAACTCTAGTTCGGGGGGCAACTCTTTGTCCTTCCCGCGTTCCACTCCGCGGCTCTGATAACAAATCATGTGCAAAATCTCCAAGGAATATCGGTCGGAATTGAATTTTATCTCTGGTACTCATAAAGCTGAAAACCACGTCTTCTTAAAACCCCACCATTCAAACATAAAAATGTTTTATCTTATGAGATGTTAAGGGCAGCGCAATGACCATTCGAATAACATCATATCTGTATGTTTTTCCTTACATGATAAGTATGCCAGTAGACATTTTTAGTTAAATGTCACTTTACAGTCCCTTTCAGCCTACTTCGGTTCTATTAAGAGAAATACTGGCGAACGGTTTTGAACTCCCTATTGGTTACAGATCGTCTTTACATGACTTTACATGTCACTTTATAATTCTAAAATTAAACCACCTCCGTCACATATATTAGGAGAAGTGGTAAAGACAGGCCACTTGTCGGGATCCCACCACTGGTTTCGCCCACTGTGCCGAAATTGCAGAAATTCTAAACCAATACGCTCTCACATCTAAAGCTAAAGATTAACAGCATGACAACCCGAGAGAAAATGCCTAACGGAGTCTTCTATGATGCATTTTGATGATCTCCTCAGTTCAACCGGTCAAATGAGGCCCCTGCATCCGCCTTCAATTGTGAAAAATTACTGCACGAATTGCACTCTAACGACTTGACTCGGTTCATTGACGAAGTACTATTTTTTGGACAATTTCTGCGTTTCATCATCTATAAATGTCAAAGGAAGTGGAGCCGGTTAATCGTTAGCGAATAAAGCGGAGTACTTCTGAGAAAATGCCTAACGGAGTTCTCCAAGATAAATTTTGGTGATCTCAGTAGAATCATCAGATAAACCGATCAAATGAAACCATTCCATCCGCCTTCAGTTGTGAAAAATCACTGCACGAATTGCAGTCTAACGAGTTGCCTCGATTCATTGACGAAGCATTATTCTTTGAACTATATCTGCGTTTCACCATCTAATCATTTTGATAAGCAAAGGATGCGGAGCACGTCAATATTTAGCGCACAACACCGAGTACGTCTGAGTGAGCGATCTCAGTAAATGTCAGCCCAACTTCTAAAATTTAATTTCGTCTAGGAGGCATAACTGAAGTGGGTTTGCGATGTTGATTAACTTGTGGCATAGCCCTGTGATGTTTAAGACACCTCAGTGTGTTGGCATTTAAGCGCAGGTCTTTTTGGCCACCTGCAAAATCCTCACTGGACATAGATGGCCACTTGACTAGCGCGCATTTCACATACCGATATTCGATGACCCTGTACATTAAGTCATTATTTTATAGAGGAACTCCATTTACAGTTAGTGACCTAACTTTTGAAATATTTAGAAATTTACGAATTATTGCCAATCACTCGTAAACCGATATCAGTTCATGAGTCCAATGTGTGTGTGTTAATTAAGTACAAGTTTAAAAGAATTAAAAACGTAAAAGAAATATTAAGGGCGGTGTTGCGTTGTTTAGAAATGCGGATATAAATTGAAAAGTGCAATATCCCGAAAAGGTTAGAAATGGCCCTAATTTGGTAAACTTTGTTTGTGATTTCATATATGATAGTTTGTCAACATCCAATATACTGAGTTTAGATTCCAAAACAGTTTTCCAGTG